CCCGAAATCTGGGTTAGCCCGCTTCTCCTTAAAACCGACCAATTGTTCGTTTTAGCGAGCTGGTTAGTCTGTTTAGACGTTCCAATCTATCGTCCAGTTTTCTGTCGATCAGGGAGACTACTAGTCATTGACTTGACTGCAGATGTGCAACGCACCGGGTGACCTTGACAGACAATTTCACCATTCACGATCAACTAAAAAATTAAACAGCTAAACATTTACATAATAACGCATCAAATCTGGTTCCCCATGAGCAACTTTGTTTATTTTGAGACGGTGATTCTGAATATGAAATCAGTTTTTACCTGAAATAATTATTTTTAAAATTTTGAGTCCTAAGTTTAATCCCACGTGGTGGCAAATTTTAAAGGGAATCTACGTCACAGCGCGTGTAATTCCCCCAGATTTATTTTACTTTATCCAGAGGCACAAAACATATTGATATTGATAGGTCTATCTCCCGTCTCCGGCCGGTAGATGCTGTGTGATCACCGAATGGTTGGAGAGTATTTAGGGGTATTTGGTGTTGCGTTGGTGGCTTAGTGGTTAATGAGCTCTAGACTCGCAACCGTGAGGTCGTGGTTCGTAATCCCGTCAGGAGCCCGACGTTGTGACCTTGAGAAAAGTACTTTACCAGAATTTTTCTCACTTCACCCAGGTGGACATGGGTACCCAGCTATAGACAATGAAGGATCTTGTCGGTTTGTTAGTGTTTGAGTGTTTAATCGGCTTTTTGCACTGTATACTTTCCGGGGAGCTGAGAATGTTCCTGAGTGTTCTATGGTCTGCTGGAGTTATTAGTGTGTAAAGCGCATAGAGCTTGCCGTCGAGCGGGAATATGCCCTGAACAAATGCTATTTTTTAATTACTATATTAACAATTTGTATTTCTCGGTGGCATCGGTAACCAAGTGGTTAGGCTATTGGACTTGTAATAGTGAGATTACGGGTTCGTGGCTTCGAGCTTCAGCTCGATCCGACGTCGTGTTCTAGGGAAAGGTACTTAACACGAATTTCCTATTTGATTCGGTCTTTTCAGAAATGGACGTTAAACTTGGAGATTCCACTTCTTAAATGGTCGCTTTTAAGGACAAGCGGGCCAACCCAGATTTCGTGGGTTTCCAGAAATCTTGGCCTACACTAAAAGTGGGCATTGCCCTACCTATAGGAAAAGTTTGGTTTCATTGTTGGGTATATTTGTTTGGTTATATAGAAACCTTCCTTGTCTTTTAAAGAAACTGAACAAGGGGCAATAACCTTACCTTCGATTTTCTCAAAATAGCATTTTTCGGGATAGCCCCCTTGTGTTTAAAAGCGACCAGAGGATTTAATGTTTGTTGCTGGGGATGTTAAACCTACAGGATTTCTCTATTATCATTAATTTGTATTTCTCTACCAACTGTCTCAATAGAGTTCTTACAAGATTTTAAACAATTGTATTAAAAGAGTTCTTACAAAATTTGCTAACAACTGTCTCAATAGTGCTCTCACAAGATGTGCCCACCACCCACAATGAAAGTTTTAAATTGCTACGAGTGGACATTTCTTCTATATATATGGCTGTGAATGTTAGACAATCGCTAAAGAAAGTGAAAACAAAATAGAAGCAATAGAAATGTAGTTTCTTAGGAGAATGTTGAGAATTTTTCGGAAGGAAAAGCAATCAAATGAGGAAGTACTTGAAGAAGCCCACGTGGGCCGCTGGCTGATTAAAAAAACAACAAATAATTTAATAAGGAAGAGACAAATGAAGTTTCTTGGACACTTGAATAGACAAAAAAGCCTTGGGTGTGTGTGTGGAGGGGTGCAATAAAGAAATAGATAAAAAATAAACTTCCATTTTTACTAACTCCCCTTGGGGGTGTTTTTCTTTTTAATCTTTTACTTTTTACTTGAGTAGACGTACATGTCTTGAACATCTAGCTCTTACTGGTTAAACTGACCATAGATCACAGCGGGTGGTTGGAGAGCGTCACTGGTAACTCCTACTTCTTTACTTTCCCTCAATTCCTTCTTGCTGTCTGTCTGTCTTACCTTTTCCCAGCACTAATAAAACAAAACATGACCATTTTCGAGTTGATGTTCTTCTTTTTTTCCATTTACTCAGACAAACAAACAAACAAACAAACAAACGAACAATCAACCAAACACAAGATCACATGGTGACCTCTACTAAACAAAGAATGATCAATGAAATAACAGCGCCACTTTTCTGACTCTGTACAAAAACCCGAGGCTGTTTCTGTTTCCTGTTGTCACAAGGTAGAACTTTCCTGCCGCAGCCCACGACGCTCCATTTTCTTGTAACTGATTTTAGATAAGCTTTGTAATAATAATAGTAACTTGTGGAAAACTAGCAGGGTATCCTCAGTTCTCTTTGCCTCCAGCGGGACCAGAAAGCACCAACATCTGACCACAAATAGCCGGCTGACATTTCCTGGTTCCTAATGTCGTGGTGATATTTGTTTCTCGAGGGTTGGTATTTTGGACGTGTGTGTGTCAGATCCCTGTGAAACATATTATTATCGCAGCAGCTTGGGTGATGGTTATTTCAGAAGGGTGGGTGAGTGTGTGGGAGGGGGGGGGGAGGGGTGGTGCAATCAAGAAATAGATAAATATTAATAAAATTCGTTTCAATTTTTGCTAATCTCCTTGTTTCAGTTGTGTGCTGTTGACTGGGATATTTAAAGGGGGTTTGGTTTCGGGAGAAGATCTTCATTACTGATTATCAACTTTTGCCTTTCTCACCCTGAATCAGGATATAGGCCACGAACAAACCCTTTCCACCTTTCCCTATCCTGGGCTAGTCGCTTGATGTCACTCTACGTCTTCCCACTTTTCTGTACATTCATTTCCGTGACTCTTCTCCAGACTCCACGTGGTCTCCCCCTTGATCTTTCACCCTGTGGGTTCCAATCTAACACTTTTCTTGTTATGCAGCTGCCTGACTTCCTGAAAGTGTGTCGAATCCATCGCCAACGTCTTCTTCCCACCTCATCTCTGACTGAGCTCTGTCTCGTTCTTCTTAATATTTGGTGATCCTGTCTGTCCATTTAATCCTCAGTAGCTTCCTCAGACACTTGTTTAAGAAAACCTAAATCCTCTTTATGCACGTCTGAGATGCGTTCCACGTCTCACATCCATACAACATTACTGGTATGTGTCTTAATTGTGTTCACTTTCATTCCATGTGGGTGGTTGGAGGGTGCCACTGGTAGTGGCGTCGGTGGCCTAGTGGTTAGGCTCTCGGACTTGCAACCGTAAGGTGGTGGGTTCGAATCCCGTCAGGGACCCGACGTTGTGTCCTTGGGAAAGGCGCTTTACACGAATTTTCCTCACTTCACCTAGGTGGGAATGGGTACCCGGCTATAGACAGCGAAAGATCTTGTCAGTATGTTAGTGTTTGAGGGCTTAAACAGCTGCTTGCACTGTATGCTTCCCGGGAAGCTGAGAATGTTTCGGAGTGTTCTATGGTCTGCTGGGGTAATAATATAGTGTAAAGCGCATAGAGCCTGCTGTTGAGCGGGGATTTGCGCTATACAAATGCTATCTATTTTTATTATTAGGTCCTACTTCTTCACTTCCCCTCTGTTATTTCTGTCTGTGTGGTTGATTGGAGGGCACCACTAGTAGGTCCTACTTCTTTACTTCCCCTCTGTTGTTTCTGTCTGTGTGATTGGTTCGAGAGCGCCACTGGTAGGTCCTACTTCTTTATTGTCCCTCTGTTGTTTCTGTCTGTGTGATTGGTTCGAGAGCACCACTAGTAGGTCCTACTTCTTTATTGTCCCTCTGTTGTTTCTGTCTGTGTGATTGGTTCGAGAGCGCCACTGGTAGGTCCTACTTCTTTATTGTCCCTCTGTTGTTTCTGTCTGTCTGTCTGTCTTACTTTTTCCCAGCACTAAATGACCGCCATTGTGTCGATGTGCTTTTCTTCACTCAAACAAACAAACACATTTCATTCCATATTCCTCACATGCTTTGTTCATTGTATTGATGTGTCCCTCTGCAGTTGTGATATCATGTGTTATATTATTAAGCACACTTATAAGTGGGTGGTTGGCGGGTGCTTTGGTGTGGTTTGCTCCTTCTTTCCTATCAAACATCTGTCTTTCTGGTCTCTCCTCCTTTTTTGTTTTTGTTACTCTCTTTTAACACCTCTCATCTTCGGCACTTATATGACCTCATTGTGTTGCAAGTGCCGTAAAACTCTTTTTAAAACTGAAAAAGAGCAGTAAAGGTATTATAGGATTTTTTTAAAAGTAAAGTTGTTCCCGCATCTGCTCCGGACATTCTGGATTACCTTGTTAGTGAGACAACTTCCTGCCTGGGTCTTCGGTATATCGTGGTAGGGTGGCCAGTTCCTTTCCGTGCGCCTTTACTTCGCCGACTCGAAGTCAGGTACCCATTACTGCTGGGTGGGCAGGAAGGGGTGAAAAAAATCCGTGTCCGAATATGTGTGTGTGTGTTTGTGTATTTGTGAGTGTGTATGCGTTTGTGGGTGTGTGTGTGTGTGTGTGTGTGTGTGTGTGTGTGTGTGTGTGTGTGTGTGTGTGTGTGTGTGCGTGTGTGTGTGTGTGTGTGTAAGTGTGTGTATTGGACTGGGGAAAAAGGGGGGAGCATTACTGCGTAAAACCGAAGAAAGTACAAACTTATTAAATATGTTTGTATTTATTTAACATTCCGATGTTTAAATTTCTTGTTTCTGTATCTCCCCCACAGATGTCACAGTAATCACTGGAGAGAGTATGGGAGAGAGAGAGTACGGGAGAGAGAGTACGGGAGAGAGAGAGTACGGAAGAGAGAGAGTGAGAGAGAGAGAGGGGGGAGAGAGGGAAAGAGGAGTGTGTGTATGTGTATGTGTGTGTGTGTATGTTTTGCCTTTGTTTTGCAATTTGCCTTATTGCGTAAAGCCGAAGAAACTACTAACATTTTAAATATGTTCGTATTATTTAACATTCCGATGTTTAAATTTCTTGTTTCTCTATTTCCCCCTCAGATTCTGTCACAGTAGTCTCACCAGCTCACATGGGCCTGTCAAGACACAAATCCTGCTGCGTGCTCCGATAATGCAAGTGCCCGCCCGTTTCCTGACGTCACTTTCAAGCCACGCCCTCCTCCTCCTCCTCCTCCCCCCAACACCCCGCCCTACCCCACAAGAAAACTGCAAGCCTGTACGACCGTCTAATAAACCTACAGGGTCCGTGAAAAACCTCTTCTTTATTAGGCCCCGCCCCATCTCGTCGAAAGCTGCCACGATTGGTGGACCGTCCACGCCCACTTTTACTTACGCTGCACAGAACCTGATGACGTTTCTGGCGAGAGTTTCCGAGACGTGTGTAGTAGCACTTGGCAGAGCGCACAGACCGATGACGTCATGTATTTGATCCAGCGCTGGATGAAGGGCGGAGCCACTTGCAGTGTGAAGGCGGAGCTAGACCAGGGGAAGCTTGTCAGAAAGTGTGGCCGGAAGGGAAGGGGGCGGGGCCAGTTTGAGATGCCGTGTGGGGTGGCGGCGACACGGGCAGGTGAGTGACGTCACGATTTTGTACGTGTGTTTGGGGGTGAGGTGAATG